GCAATTCCTTCTGTTAAAAGGTTCTTTGACATTTCTAAAATTTATTTTTATCTTGCAGTTTATTCATTTTGACTATACATAAATATTTATGTTTTATATTATAGAGAATGTTTAATATTTCAAAAATCTTTTGTAACAGAATTTACGGTGAATGTAAATCTGTTGCTTTCGTAGCAAAATATAAGTGCAATGTGTCTGAATTCATTGAAAAATAGTCATTTCTATAGCATTCAATACACTGTAATTACATATCCATGCACTTAATCCTTCCTGAGATGACTAAATATTGGAGTGATTTAGTCAATGATTAGGTATAAGTCAACGTTCCACAATACCACATTTTATGGCATTATCGAACAATTATTAACTCAATGATTGGGCTAATCAAAATTTATAAAAATCTTGGCTTAAAATTTAATCAGCTTTTCTGAATATGGCTGGTCAGAAAATCAGAAATTAAATCTGTGATAAGCACTAATCCACTTTCGAAAATAAGGGCCTTAGATATTTTAATGTATTGGACGTTAAATCTTTAATAAAAAACATTGTTACTGTACTTGCTTGAAAACGTTGAGAGAATACTCTTCGAAACTTCGCCTAAATAAATCAGTAATAATTATTCTTCCATAAGTATGTGTTATAGTTTATTGCTCTATCCAGTTAATAAATGCCTCTAAAAGATCATTTCTTTTATATCTCGGGTCACTGTGGTTTCTCTCTGCCCTTCGCAGAAATATTGTGAAATTGAGAGCCGCCATCAAATCAATAGGTAGTTTCATTATTATAAGATATTGGTTATTTTTACACCATAGCTAAAATTGTCAATCTAACTAAAATTAAAGTTATATATCGCCGTCATTCTTAACAACGATTTGCTGCTCATGGCGCTTTTTTTATTTTGTGTAACATAAATCAGTAGATTACTCCATTTACATGTAAATACATTTTGTATAACATTGACCAAATAAATTTTATGTATAATCCGTTCTCGGCCTGTGTTATATAGTAGTCCTCTTGTCAGTAGTGGTCGACGGAGGCCCGAGTACGGAACAGCGTCTAATCGTGTTGTCAGTTGGAATTTGACGAAGAGTAAGCGGAATCGCGGCTGTCCAGGTGTATGCCAATATTCATTAAGCCGATTGTTGCAGAAATGTTAAACCCCAATTCATTTGATTTTATAAGCCTGCGTGTTAATTTGCAGGACACAATTATGAGGAATGTAATTACAGTTTACTACCGACCGACACTTCGACTAGTATTCTCGCGTGTTTATCATTGTGTTATTAATGTTTTATTGGTACACTGAAAAAAAAACTTGTGTTGAAACAACACAAACTTGTGTTAAATTCAACACAAGTTAGGTGTCTCTATTTAACAACACAAACTTGTGTTAAAACAACACAAAACTTGTGTTAAATGTTGAAACAACACAAAACTTGTGTTAAAATTTATCAAACAACACAAAGTTGTGTTGAAACTTGTGTGAAGATCTACACAATACTTGTGTTAAAAATACTGAAATTTGTGTTGAAATTTCTGAAACTTGTGTTGAAATTTCTGAAACTTGTGTTGAAATTTCTGAAACCTGTGTTAGTTCATGCAAACTTGTGTATAACCACCAACAAACACTTGTTTTGTATTTTACCATTTATATCCAGTATAGCAACCTTTTTCCATGCACCCCCCCCCCCCCCCCCCGTTTCTTCTGTTTAAACTGTAATGTTTGATAAATAACATAAAAATAATGGTTTGTTAAATTAATATTTATTCAATAAATGAAATGAAAAATTAAATTAATGCCAAAGCAATACTAAACAGACATCTCGACTGTTAATAAACAAATTTTTTCCAATACTGATAAAATTTTGTTATACAATGAAAAAAATACCACCCCACCCCAATCATAAAATAGAAAATAGCTATTGAAAAAACCCAAAACCAGACAAGCATTGACACATTTGGTATATTAATAAATAAAGTTAATTCCAATACTAATAAAATTGTGTTCCTATCCTACTCCCTAATCACAAAATAAAAAAAGCTATTTAATTTTTTTTTACAATTAACCTTAAAAAGAACTGAGAATATAATAGATACGTACACAATATCCCTATCTCCCATGCCTCCAAAACATACATTTTAACTATAGCAAAATTTAATAACAACCAAACCAAACACTAAATACATTAATTATGCACTAAATTGAAATAATCATAGATAGATAAAATAAATATAGCATATAAATCAAATAAAATGGAGAATTTTAAAAATTTGTAAAGAAAATATTGATGAATAAAACCATTGCATATAAATGAGGCATTAACAATCGAAATGTTCACTAATTGTTTGAAAATAAAGGTTGATTTCATCATGCAATAATACATTTTTATAATTATCGGCTGTTACTATTAATTATTGATAATTCCTCTTTAATATTTCAATTTTTAATACCAAATTTTTAGTGTTAAGGATTGCACTGCAGTTTATATAATGAAACAATATTTAGAGATAGTTTGGTATTTGACATTAAAAACCAGAAAAAAGCGATAAAAAAGTAATGATGACAAATAACGTTTGGGTTTCCAGAATAAGATCTATAAAAGAATTTGATGGCTTTATATTCAGAATTTGTGTTCTTTCTTTGGTATTGATTTACTAAATACATGTACTTCTCCAAGAATGTTCAAGTCTCTGAAAAATATAAAAGTGATTATTATAAATACACTTATAAACAAATTGGGTTTCGATATGGTTTTTACTTGGCATACCAGTCATTGTTGGTACAGAGTTATTTAGTTATTTAGATGGCAGAATAGTAAAAGTAAAATAACTTATTGAGTCGTTGTCGGCCGGGGGGGGGGGAATTTTGAGACTCATATGTATGGCTACATGTCAATGCAAGGGGAAGTATTTTAGTCAGGCAGTATTATTGCTTACTCCTCTTTCAAACTCAAATTGAATGCATCACCAAGTTGCACATTGAACCAAATGGCCAGTTTGGTGGCATTATATCTAGAACCACACCAAGCAATTACCCAAATATCTAGGGTCATTTGAAGTTTACATCTGTTTCTGATGATTACACACCCGCCTCTCTGTGGGCAAAATAACCTAACAGCAAGTGTTTTGTACAGTATGTACACAGAAACATATCTGAGAACCATATTAAACCTATTAAGTTTAATATAGGTATTTAAAAAGTCTTACCTTTTGTTATCATTTCTGCTCAAGGCTCCCTATGTCTTATAGTTTGCAGTGATACAAGGCAATTACCAATTTTCCATGTTCTTGGCCTGAAGAAATAAAATAATAAAAGTCAAGTTTTTATTATTATGCAATTGGATAAATATGATTTGAATAAATGCAGCATATCATGAATATAACTGATTTGAAGTCAACTGGGCATATATAAATTGAAGTAGCTACTTTTCATAAAGAAAATACATGAATGATTTCCCTAATTCCCCTGGATTTTATTATAGGTCTTTGTACAAATTCAGATTCTCTTTTAAAGCAATTAGACTGCACTATCGTTGGATTGTGTTGCTAAATCTACTGCAATTTGAAAAATGGTACGCAATCAGTTGTAGTATGAATGTAGTTCAAATCTGTTTTCAAAATGGCGCCCAGAACACAAAACAACCATTGCAATTCAGGATTGACTATAGTGTCGAAGATGTATCCTATGAATGATTTTTTGAATATCTAATCACACAGAAACACAATTATGCACATGCGGTTATGATTTAATATTGAATTAGCTCACCTCAAATACCTCGAAATATATATACTGTTTGTTCAGTTTGTCCGCCCGCCATGTTACTATTAACCACACGTCCTTCGACCAATTTAAATATGCGTATAGTTTGGTTTAACCGAAACGAAAAATTTGCGTTATAAATACATTGTATTAAAAAATAAAAAATAATAAACCTGATATTCTTTTTTTCTGAACATACTTTTTCACAACAAATATCACTTTTTGAGGCGGTTCTAACATCGGTTTATGTTATTAATCGATAATAATCCAGGAAGGAATAACATTGCTTCGTTCGTTTCTGGAGTTTTACGTCCACTTCCACCCTAGCTTAAGAATACTGCAATAAATATTTCTTCCCTTTTTAGAGTAATTCATTTTAATTGGTCATTTACAGGTAAGTAATAAATGTCAAATTTCGGTTAAAGAACCAATTAAATTAAATAAAAAGATTAACTCGGCTATTTCCACGCCCATTTAAACATTTTATACAACGTAGATATAACACCATTGTTGTAATTTCTCATACCACGACCATTTTCTTTGATGTGTCAAGTTTATTGGGGCAATATCAATCAGACTCTTCCAAATGCAGACATTGTAATAACTTGTCTGTCTATTGTTTGAGACAACATATGAAATGATCAGAATGATCTTTTATTATGTTTAATCAAATAAATAGTTAATAATTAGTCAATGATTGACTAAAACTTCGATCTCTTTATATCCGTATACTGTTATAAAATACGTTGTTTTAAAAGAGATATTAAATGTATCTTACTATACATACATATCGATTTCTACTTAATGTTTGTAATAATTAATATAAGGTTTTAGATTATTAGAGATATTAAAACAAAAAAGAAATCAAGTGAATACCTATTGACATTCAAAAAAATTCAGGAAGAGTGGTTTTACATGTAGGCTAAGCCAGATAACCAAGCCAGTTTCCCAATCGCATTCAGATTTTCTCAATAAATAAAAATAGTAATATGAAAAGTAACATAATAAATGTTATCTTAAAATTCTGCGTTATAAATAATATAGAAAGAAAACACACAAGATTTTATAAATGCACACAAGGTTTGTGTTAAGACACTAAAAAGAACACAAACTTGTGTTGACTACAATTAACACTAGTCCTTGTGTTGAGATCCAACACAAGAGTTTTTTCAGTGTAGTAAATGTAATGAAACAATAAATAAAAGGTCTGACGCCATGTGTTTAATTTATTTTTATTTAGGTTGATTTGTGTACACCTAATCCATGTTATAACAAGAGTCGGTGCAGTTCAAGTCATAACGTCACATGTCATTGTTCTCCAGGATATACTGGTAAGTATCGTTAACTATGTAATATTCTGTTTACATAAATAGAGCGGGACCGTGGTTGCCCAGTTGATAGACAGGGGGTCCCAGAGTGGATCCTGGTGTTGACAGAGAAATTACCTGGAGATTTTGTCAGCGTGGTTTTCTCCTTGTCAGTGGTGCAGAACGTAAGGCCTGGTAAGGGTTAGGTTAGTGTCCAATCGTTCGGATGGGACTGAAAGCCGAAGTCCCGTGTACGTAAAAAAAACCCTTGACATTTAGGACAAGCCATAACACCGCTCTCTGGGCAACATGGCCCTGGTTACCCACTACATGTCGCATGCCCGCCATCATTAGCCCGTTTCATTTTCTAGGATATTTGATACCACTTCCCGTTAGACAAGACGTTAAACTTTCAGCTTACAGTTATTGGATTTTTTTTCGGTATGTGATTCTAGTATTTATTATATCAGTTATATTTTCATTAGGTTCTAATTGTATCAATTGTATTTCCACTAGGTTCTAGTATTAATACCAACTGTATTTTCTCTAGGTTCTAGTATTTATATCTATTGTTTTGTTACTAGGTTCCAGTATTATTTTCTCTAGGTTCAAGGTGTGATTCTAGCATTTATATAAATAATATTTTTACTAGGTACGAGATGCGAGATAAACCTAAATGAATGTGAATCCAATCCGTGTTTAAATGGTGGTACGTGTAAGGATCGTGTTGATGGTTATGCTTGTTTGTGTCATGAACTCCATGCTGGACCTAACTGTGAATACACAAGTAAGTTATTAAGCCTTGTCCAGATGATCATACATTTACCCAAAACACCCAATTTTATACATTTGTATGATGATATCCAGTTCTGTTGGAACTTGTTGTGGATTTGCATCCACACGTCCAACATTATTTGACACAATAGCGCTAGGTATTAATAGCATGGCGGGAAAAATATTAATTGTCTCACTCATTGTTTCAATTTGGGGGCTACTATACAATTCGATTATGATACGATATCAATTTTTATTTTCAGTTGATATGTTTGCTCCATTTCTTCAAGGCAAAACAACTGACATGTCCGGAAACGTTCGCAGCTATCATGTAGAGAATCTGTACATTGTTGCTGGAACCCTATCTGGTGCCATCTTAATAGTTATCATTGTGTTGACCACTTGTTATTGTCGTATGCATGAAACGTACAAAAACTGCAGCTTGAAGAGAATGAAATACTCAAGACAAAAAGAGTAAGATCCCCACTGAATGTTATCGTATAATTTTGTCTACCTGGTCCGTCCACAATACAAATTTACTCTGGACACACTACAAGTCACATCTATCTAATCTGTTCATAATTTATGTGCATTATTTACTGACACTATCTTGCAATTTACTTAAAAAATCTGGATCGTCCTCTTAAAAGATATTAAATGGAACAGAAGGCCAAAAAAGATCTCGTTGCCCCAACCTCGTGGGTTTGCTACGGGTCCTCCGGATTCCTCCATTGCTAAAGACTCCTACACGAAAGCGAATAATTGAAATTACATTGTACCATCTGTTACTCCCATAGTGACCTAGTTTGTTTCGAATGGACGTTAAACTCCATTTCTCTCTCTTTTCTCGTTGCTTCGTTAAAATCAAGGAATGTTACTCTTGCCAAAGAAACCCATCTCTTTTTAAATGCGTATAATAATAATATATTTCTATTTACATAAATCAATAAATCAAAAATCGGCCGTGGTTTCGCAAATTCTTTACCTACTTTAAAACAACTCACATTTTTGGAAACCCTGAATCTTTTCCGAGACAATGGCTATCTCACATTTTTCAATTTCGAACATTCATCTATGGCTTTTTGTCGTTCGAAATTGGAAACTTTAAATTTTTACAAAAAACTTTATTATTAATGAATATTTTTTAGTCGTGTTTTACACAAAATTAACAAGTCATCTGACTTGGGCAAAAATGTGATTTTCTTTTGTCTCAGTAATTTTCCTTGGCCGCCATTGGCTAATTCAGTTTTTCAGTCCTCGATTAATTATTTATTGCTCGATTTGTATAAAACAAAGTTCATATACTCCATTGTCTCGATTGTCATTTTTTTTGTTACCAATAGAGTTATCTGTCGGCACCGGAAGTGGCTTAATTTTACCAAACACTACAATTTTGACAGTTAGGTACCATTTTTCGAAAGCAAATATTATTTTTTTTTTTAAAAACTGATATAACTAAAAGAGTGTGCCCTTTAAAGGCGCACAAAATGTTGGGAACAGTTTTTTTAATTTCGATTTCATTTTCGAGCAAATTCGATTAAGAGGTTGAAAAAGGTGTTAAATTGACCTATTTACAACCCATTCAGGCTTTTCAGATTTTAAAATATTTCTACGTAACTTTTATAAACTTGTAGCTATAATCGATACGAAGAAAATGTATGTTAAAATTAGTTTGTAATATAAGCAGTTACCTAGAAATGGGCAATTTTGCATAAGTCACTGTTTTCGTTATTTTGCCTGTAAAATAGTCAATTATTATTGGATTTTCACAAAAGTGATAAAATTTTCACCATGTGATGCATTATGCCATTTCTGATTTCATAACACTAATTGAACATTTTCATTATCACCAGAAGTACTGTACACTTACATGTAACAAATGTATAAAATGAATTGATATTGCTGGATTTGGTTGATTCGGCGTCCAATTTTATTTGATGTGTCCATTGCTTATGTGGAAACCTGTTTAATGGTTTCATTGGTACCGGAAGTGACATATGTTTAGGGTAACGTGGTACTGGTGAAACCCGTTATTACTGTATCGCAGTTCAAGTTATTATTTTTTTTTTTCCGCGGGACCCTATTTCTCCATGATCGGTGCTCTTGCAAAAATCGTGATTTCACCGTCGGGTGTGACCGCATCAAAACATCTAAAGTATCGTTTAGTAGCTCGATGAATGGGCTATTCAAATGCTTTCATCCCGAAAACTTCTCTTTTTTCCTTTCTTATAACTTCTGTTTATTAGAGTCTTAACGCTGGTTTAGGGCGTGTATCCAAATTTAAAGGCCTCAATATAGTATAAATGAATCGTTTCTTCCATATCTCGGTCTTGTCCCGGTCTTGGGGGCTATTCAGATGCTTTCATCTCGAAAACTTCTCTTATTTCCTTTCTTAAACTTCTGTTACTTAGAGTCCTAACGGTGGTCTAGGGTGTGAAACCAAATTTAAAAGCCTCAATATAGTATAAATGTTCCAAAGAGGGCCACAATCTTTGAAAAAAGTTGAAAAATCGTTATATCTTTTTCTAAAGGTCTAATGGTATTAGGGAGATAAGACATTGGCATCGGACTACCAATTATTTGCTAAATATTGTTAAATATCTTCTAATTTTCCTTTCTTTTAAAAACTGTCCAATGGATCTTTCTGAAACTTCTGGTACAGAAAGTTAAGTTCCCATACAACGTGTTAAATCTATCTCGACAATGATCCGTAAACCGGAAGTATTCGAAAAAATATTCGATATTTAAAAAACCCCAGTAAAAATCGGTGCTCTTGCAAAAATCGTGATTTCACCGTCGGGTGTGACCGCATCAAAACATCTAAAGTATCGTTTGGTAGCTCGATGAATGGGCTATTGTATGACAAACTTCTTGTCTGATTCCTGAAAGCCGTTTCAGTGCTGCTTGCAGGTCTAGTTATTATTATTATTATTATTTACAGCGGGAGCCTATTTCTCCATGATCGCAAACAGATATCGATCTGGAACCAAATTTTCTATTGGGAAACCATGTGGTGGTAACTTGATAAAGTATTTTTGAAACTTCTGCGCAGACCGGAAGTGGCCGAATTTTGAACGGTAGCAATAAATCAAAAAGCGGCCGTGGTTTCGCCAATTCTTTACCTATTTTAAAACAATTCACATTTTTGGAAACCCTGAATCTTTTCCGAGACAATGGCTATCTCATATTTTTCAATTTCGAACATTCATCTATGGCTTTTGTCGTTCGAAATTTGAAAATTTAAATTTTTACAAAATGCCATTTACAATTTCATACAAGTAATTTAAGATTTTTATTATCACCGGAAGTAACGTCATTTTGGAAAAAACTGTATTTTTAGCCTTCAAAACAGATATTTAATTCAAATGAGTCTGATTTGTAATGTTTTTAAAATTATATTTGATTCCAATCACCAAATAGATTGAACCCATACGATCATACAGATACCAGAAACTGGTTTCTAACTTGTACGGTTGCAGAGAAATAGACGGTTTGCTACAAGTCACTTTTCAAGGTTTTTGGTCTATAAAAGTGGCAATTATTATTCGATATACATAAAAATTTTCACCATGTGATGCCTTATGCCATTTCTGATTTCATAAAACTAATTGAACATTTTCATTATCACCGGAAGTACTGTACACTTACATTTAACAAATGTATAAAATGAATTGATATTTCTGGATTTGGTTGATTCGGCGTCCATTTTATTTGATGTGGGCAATGATTATGTGTTTAATGGTTTCATTGGTACCGGAAGTGACATATGTTTAGGGTAACGTGCCACCGGTGAAACCATAATCATAAAAATATTCGATATTAAAAAAAAAGAAGTAAAAAAAACAGTAAAAATCGGTGCTCTTGCAAAAATCGTCATTTCACCGTCGGGTGTGACCGGATCAAAACACCTAAAGTATCGTTTGGTAGCTCGATGAATGGGCTATTGTATGACACACTTCCTGTCTGATTCCTGAAAGCCGGTTCAGTGCTGCTTACAGGTCTAGTTATTATTATTATTATTTATTTTTTGTGTGTGTTTTTCCTGCAAATCTTATATCTCAGAATCTAACCGTGGGATCTTTCTGAAACTTTGACCTACCCCCCCCCCCCCAAGAATGGGTGGTGGCTTTGGAATAGGTATATTTTCAAAACGTTTTACACATCCGAAATCACCGAATTTTACGAACGAATTTCGGATTTTCGAATTTCGAAAATTCGTCGCCGTGATTTCGAACCGGAAGTTAAAATCAACTTGACAACTTCTTTAATAGTTGCACGATTTTCATGAAATTAAGTATGTAAGTAGATCCAAGGTACATTCTATGCAAATTTGAAGGCAATCGGACCACAGGAACGTTGCCTGGGCAGAGCAAATCAATTCGGTCGCGAAAATTTGCTCATTCTTCAAAGTTATTATAATATTGTGTTATGACCGCCATCTTAGATACACCGTCATTTACCAAACCACTCCGAAATATACCCAAAATCCCCAAATCGACCATAATTTCTTTTGACTTCGCGCATGCGCCGCGCTGGAACCAAGGTAACATGACTACCAAATTCCGGCGAGGAACTTTTCACGTTGGTACCTAGGTGCCCTGAAAAATTCAAGGCAATACCTGCATTCGTTCAGGTCGTTTGTTCTTCACACGGTTCCTGTCGTTCGTCTTTTTCCGCCATTTACGGCTTCAGTCAGGGCGAAAAAAGAGGAATTTCGCCACGACACCGGAGCCGATTGTCCGAAAACCATGAAATTTGGATACAATACGCCCATTACCACCCCGAACTCTGTGCCTTACTCCCATTTTGATCCGATTAAAAAAAAGAGTTTTAGCAAAAAACCGATTTTCGGAATTTAATATTGGTTTTAATTAATTTTGAAATTGCAAATGCAAAGAGATTTTATCGCCTCTTCCGTATGTGATAGGTATTGGTACTATACACATTATCCTTAAAAGACAATTTTTTAAAATGACCGTAACGATGTATCGACACTAGAAACCGAAATGGCCTATTTTGACCTTTTTTGACTGCTGAGGCATCCTTCCGGTGGTACAAATCTCTGGAATTTCTAGCGGTTGGCTGTGCCGCGATGATGTTTATCACATATTAATAGGAGAAAATGCTCAGATATCAAGAACAATACAAATTCGATATAATACGGCAATTTTTTAAGCAAAAAAACTTTGATGGGTGGCTATGGGTTTTGAATTTATTTTGAACGTTCTCGGAATCCCACACTCTTCTATTTTGGTACTCCGTGTGGAGATACCTATACAGATTTGCCCTTGTTATATTGGATACCTAAACTACATAAAAATCCCTACAAGCAACGTTTTATTGCAGGTTCATCCCGTTGTTCCACAAAACCACTTTCAAAAGTATTGACATCTATACTAACGGCTGTTAAAGAGGGTATTCAAAAATACTGTGACAAAATATACTCTCGTAGTGGTATAAATCAAATGTGGATA